CGGAGACGCGGGGACAGAGCGCAGAAACGAGACACAAAGAAAGGGAGGGGCGCACCAGGGGCTGCTCCAGCAGACTGATTCCGAGAGTCGTTTTCCGTGTCTCCGTCTCTCTCGCACTCGCACCTGTACGGGACGCTCCGTGAGTGCGAGAGAGACAGAGCGACGAAAACGACTCTCGGAGTCAGTCTGCAGGGGCACGACCGGAGGCAAGTTTTTCCCGGAACCGCGGAGACGCTGCATCGTTAGGCGGCTGTTGCTCTTCTTGTGTCGCGGCCGGTAGTACCTACAGTGGTATACAACCAAACACCGCCAGGTGGTCGCGAACAAGCACTCCGGGACAAATAAGAAGCACGCTGCACAGTGGGCCAGAAAACCGGCGGAGGCGGCCAAAATTCTAGACGCGTTTGACTCGCTTAGTGGGACTCGAACCGAACGTGTGACCCCACCAATGGATTCCTCGTTCGCAGAGCAATCCATTGGTGGGGTCACACGCTCGGTTCGAGTCCCATTTGGAGCTCAAAACGCGTTTAGAATTTTGGCCGCCTCCACCGGTCTTCTGGCCCACTGTGCCGTAAGCAGTCGCGTCGATGCCAACGCGCCTTTCGCAGTGCGATCCCGCTCACCGTTTCGTCGCTCTGTCTCTCTCGCACCCACACGGAACGCCCCATGAGTGCGAGCGAGGCAAACTGCGAACCGGAATCCACCACTGTTCAGTCGGAATCTTAGTCTCCTGCTTGCCTGCTGTGTCGCGGTACTATCGCCCTCGTGCAGCCCCGTAGCAGACTGATCCCGAGAACACGACTGTCGCACCCCTGCGGGACTGCCTCTGCCCGGGAGAGACATCCTTGTCTGGAATCAGTCTGCGTGCTGTGCGACGCTGTGAGGCAGTGTGATGCGCTGTTTTGGCTTTGGCGTGGTGGTGTTTTCACCCCATGGACCCTGCTCAGCTGACTTCCCTGCCCACCAGCCCCTGGTGGCCTCTGGCGTGGCGTGGCGTGGCGTGGCGTGGTGTGGCGTGGCGTGGTGTGGAGTGGCGTGGTGTGGCGTGGCGTGGCGTGGCGTGGCGTGGCGTGGTGTGGCGTGGCGTGGTGTGGCGTGGCGTGGCGTGGTGTGGCGGGGCGTGGCGGGGCGTGGCGGGGCGTGGCGTGGCGTGGCGTGGTGTGGCGTGGCGTGGCGTGGTGTGGCGGGGCGTGGCGGGGCGTGGCGGGGCGTGGCGTGGCGTGGCGTGGTGTGGCGTGGCGTGGCGTGGCGTGGCGGGGCGGGGCGTGGCGTGGCGGGGCGTGGCGGGGCGTGGCGGGGCGGGGCGGGGCGTGGCGTGGCGTGGCGTGGCGTGGCGTGGCGTGGTGGGGCGTGTCGTTCCGGGTCTTTGCATTACTCATGGTAATCTCTGCGGGCGGCCGGGCCGAGGCCCAGGCAGTCCGAGGCACTGTAGGCCTAAGGCCGCCTAAAGGCACTGCCAGAGTCTGCCAGATCGCCTCGCGTTTGTCTCGTAAGCCGGGCCGCGATCCCTTGCGATCCCTCGCGCACCTCGCGCTCAGCGACACTCGTGTAAATCCTGTCAGAATGTCAGAAACCTGTCTGAAAAACTGACCAAAATTCGCGCACCTCTGAAAGCTGAAAACGCATCTCCTGACATTCTGCAGAACTCAAACCATCAATATCAGAGTAAGTTTCCAGAATTTCAGCTTTCAGAGGTGCGCGAATTTAGATCAGGATTTCAGACATGTTTCTGACATTTTGACAAAATTTACACGAGTGGACAACGACCACGACAGCGACCGCGCCGCCACTGCGAAAAGCAAGTGGGGAAAACGCCACACTGAGAACAGCTCACAAACTATTTTAGGCCTTACAAAGAAACGCAGCTTTGTTATTGTATTTTGAGCATACATAAGCTTGCAAAGAAAATTCTTCGCATATATGCTCAAAGTACTTCGTAAGGTTTTAAGCGTGTCGTGTGAGCTACTCCACGCTTTGGAAGTTCGGAGTTTACAGTACCCGCACTTCAAGTGTGGAGTATCTCACAGAGCGCCTATCTCTAGGCATGGTGCAAACGTGGAGAACTCCACACTACACGCTGCAAACTCTGCACTTTCGAATGCGGACACTGCGAGTTCCACACCTCCGCATTTTAAGTGTGGGATTTTCCACACTTGGTACTTGGTTTTACAGTGTGGGGTGCGTCTTGATGGCCGCGGCGAGCCGCAGCGGACTTGCACAGATTCGCCCATTAGATATTCATTTGTCCGCGAGGGAAAAGGGCTCTCGAAACGCGGCGCCGCGTAGGGCCAGGCCATGGCCAGGCCGCCGGGGTGCGGCAGGGACTGTTGTTGTTGTTGTTGTTGACGTTGATGGTGTTGTCGTTGTTGTTGTCGACGGCGAGGGTGGCGTGCGCACGCGGACGTCTGGTCCGTCCAATTAGGGGTGCCATTCGTCTCGTGTGTCCACATGGTGTCCGCCAGCGGCCAGACTGATTCCATAGCTTCGTTGTCGCATCGCTCCGTCTCTCTCGCACCTTCACGGGACGCCCCGTGAGTGCGAGAGAGACGGAGCGACGAGGAAGCGACTCTGAGAATCAGTGTGCCGGGGCTGCAGCCGCCCGCGCGCTGCACTGGCCGTATACTTGGCTCGCCCGTCGGCGAAATTCACGAACACAAACCTACGCGACGACGACGATGACCCACGACGACGTCGACCGGGGAGCGAGGGTGGCCCTGGTGGTGGCCCCGGTGCTTGCAGTCGTTTAGTCTCGCGGTGAGCCTAATACCACCGGACCCTAATAACCCCCAGAGGCGGTGCGCTTGTGGATCTGTGTGCGTGTGTGTGTGTTTGCATGTGTGTGTACATGTGTGTGTGTGTGTGTGTGTGTGCATGTGCATGTGCATGTACTGTGTGTGCAGGGAGGCAGGGAGGGTCCATCAGGGTGTAGCGCGGCGGCGGGAGGTGGTGTCCCGAGGGACCGCCGCCGGGCGGACGCGCCCAGGGGTGCCCCTTGTCCCTCCCCTCGCCTCCCCCCTCCCTCCCCTCCCCCCTCCCTCCCCTCCCCCCTCCCTCCCCTCCCCCCTCCCCCCTCCCCTTCCTCGAGAACTTCCGGCACGACGCCCATATCCGGCCGGACCGCTCCGAGTCGCGTGCTCCAGTCCGCGCAATTTGGAGCTCGTTCCGCGATCGGCCGGCCGGCTCATTAATTGGCGGACCGCGCTGCATGAATTATTATTCCCCCTCCACCTCGCGCTGTCTCCCTCCCTCTCGTTCGGGGCAGACGCAGCGTTGGCTCGCTCTGTCTCTCTCGCACTCGCATTCGGGAGGGACGGAGCGGCGACGGAACGGACTGTTGTTGGGGCGGCGGGACGACACCCGCGGGCTGGAGGCTGATTCCGAGAGTCGTGTTCGACGCTCTGTCTCTCTCGCACTCGTGGGCCGTGCCCTCACTGAGAATGAAAGAGTCATGATCAATACCCCATTTTGAGCGAGGTATACTTTATGACCCAAATTTGGGCGAGGATTGTTTCCTCGCCCAAATTTGGGTGAGGAAGGCTTCCTCGCCCAAAATTGGGTAAGGAAGCGTGTATCAGCTGCCTATATGGCTCCATAGTATTATCACCCAAATTTGGGTGAGGAAACCTTTCTCACCCAAATTTGGGCGAGGAAGGTTTCCTCGCCCAAATTTAGGTAATAAGGAATTCCTCGCCCAAAATTTTAGTCATGATCATGACTCTTTCATTCTCAGTGCTATAGGTGCGAGAGAGACAGAGCGACGAGAACGACTCTCGGAATCAGTCTGCTGGGCAGGCCTTGCATTGCACGGGCCCCGCACACTGATTCCGAGAGTCCGCGCTTTTTTGCCGCTCTGTCTCTCTCGCACCCATAGGGAAACTCCCCCCATGCCCCATGAGTGCGAGAGAGGCAGCGATGAACGCGACTCTCCGAACCAGTCGCAGCGTTAGGGCCATAGAGGAACCAACCGACCGACTCCGGCCCGACCCGCCAACCCGACGGCCCCAAAGTTTGGGCGGAGGAGGGTCGACCGGGCGACAATGGCAAGTGTGGCGACTGCGGCGAGGGGCGCAGTCTTGGCAGGTGTGTGTGTGTGTGTGTAGGTGTAGGGGTGTGTGTGTGTGTGTGTGTATAGGTGTGTGGGGGGAGGAGGGGGGGGATTACAGTTGAATGAGCAATGTGCCGCCATAAGATATGGCAGTCTGCTTCGGTCAGGGCAGCGACTGGGCGCGCCCAAGGGGATGAGAAGTTGTTGACCCCGCGTTGTGCGGAGGGTAGAGCCCCCCCCCCCGCCGCGCGGTGTGAACGCGCGCAGGTGAGAGAGTGCTTGCTTTGCGGCTCGCGCGGGTCGCGTCGCGTCGCGCCCACCGGAAGCGGTTTTTGGCGAGTTGGGAAGTCGTTATGGCAGACAGCGCGCCGTGCGCCTCGCGGTCCCGGGCCGCAGTCACACTGTTATCCAAGTTGCATTGCATTACTTGGAGCACTAAAAAGGGTGATACCGACTCACAGACGTGCACACACACCGACGCACAGACACACAGGCACAGACACACACACACACACACACACACATACACACACAGACGGAGAAGAGCCTTCACTGCCCAGAAAACAGCGCTTAGCCAAAGTCCTTTGCAGTGTGCCCGGTCCGCCAAAAGGGGCGCTATGGTGCCTCTGGCTGGCGTGCCGCGCCGCCGCGCCGCCGTGGCCGCGTCGCGTTGCGTGTCCGCGCGGTAAGTATCGCTCACTGCCCTCTAAACGGACCCCCCTCCCCTTCCGCGCCTCGCGCTTTTATTCCCGCTCCCCTCGCGGCTTCACTGCCTGCCGGCGAGCAGACTGATTCCGAGAGTCGTTTTCGTCGCTCTGTCTCTCTCGCACCGATACGGGACGCCCCATAAGTGCGAGAGAGACGGAGCGGCGAAAACGACTCTCGGCATCAGCCTGGCAGGCCGGCCCTTCGCACAGCCAGCCCGGCCCGCTGTGTTTACTGTTGGGCTATTCGCTCCGCAAAGCAAAAGTGGCAGCTCTGGTGGCCACTCTCGGAACTACGTCGGGGCGAGGGTGAGCGTGGTCTCTCCCCTCCACTTCCACTCGCGGAGCGCGTCGCCCAGCCCAAGCCGAGGCGAGGAGGTTATGTTTTCTCTCTACAGTGTTTCGATTGAAACTGTGGAGAGATGGAGACAGTATCGGTCAAACGAAACAAATCGATGAAATGGTGTACTGTGATAGGTTGCACGTCACATGGAGGATCTATGTTTTTATTTCCTAAAAATGAGGAACAACAACTTCAATGGGCGAGAGCCTGCAGGATTGTGAAAGATGTGACGAATTTCATATACATTTGCTCGCGTCATTTCAATGAAGATGATTTGATCGCAACAGGTACGCAGGGTTTACAGTGATTTTGTATGTTTTCCTTTGCTCTCCTGTCGTTTTCTAAATTTTGAATCCTATTTCCAGCCTCGGGTATGCGCCTGAGAAAGGGTGCCGTTCCATCAAAACATTTGCCCAGTGAAGATAGTGTTATCGTTAAAAAGCCTGGTACTCGCTCGTGCATAGTGAAAGGATGCTCTTATGGTTTACGCCAGGATGATACCATTCATAAGTTTCCCCAGTGTAAACTTCGACAAGAGGAATGGAAAGCCGCTGTACAAGCAGATTTTGTGAGCGTAAGCACTAGAATTTGCTCTAGGCACTTTGAGCCCACCGACTTCAAAATTTTGAGCAATGGTAAGAAAATGTTGACTTCGTCTGCCTTCCCTACTCTCCATCTGCCAGGGGCAGACAATGACACAGGTTGCCAGGGAGATGAATGTTTGTCTTCGAATGAGTGGAGAGCTATTTGTAAGAAGTGTCAAGCAGCTGGTGGGGAAGAGACAGGGGACCTTCAAATCGTATCAGATGTTGAAGATAGTGTTAGTGGTAGTGATGCTGAGGGTGGGGGGCTTGACCAGGATCAGGAGGAGCTGCCTATTTCTGATGTTATTGGTGAGATTCGTGAGTCAGTTTTTTCTGGCCTCACTGGTCCCGAGTCAGCAGAGGTGAACAGTGTATTGTCACACTTTGCAGACAATAAGAATGAAGCAAGCACCTCAGTTCTAGATTTTGAATCAATGCTTAAGGAGCTTAATTTGTCCGAAAAGGAGACAAGAATTGGACAAGAAGTATGCCCTTTGTCACCCTCTGAATCCCAGGGTGCTCTTGTAGACTGTGGTACGCAGACAGACCTTTCTTTGATTCACTTTAATTTACTTGACTTACTTCAAACAGATGTGCAGTGTAAATCTTTTTTGGGTGTTGATTTGAGAATGTTAAATTCACTTGCTGGCATGTGTCAAAGATTCAAGCCAGTTTCTCATAACAGTGCTATGACCATGAAGGAAAGAGTTGCCATGGTTTTATGTAAATTGTACCTAAACATATCTTTTGAATGTCTCGCAATCCTGTTTGGAGTCAGCCGCCAGGTTTGTTCCCACACATTTAGTCCCACAGTGCAATTGATGCATTGTCTCATGGATGTCCTAATAAGGTGGCCATCCAAGGAGGAAACTTTGAAAAACATGCCGGCATGTTTTAAAAAGTTCAAAGATACTCGAGTAGTTTTGGACTGCACTGAGATTCCTGTTGACAGCCCCCAGTGCCTGCAGTGTCGCATTCGTATGTACTCTCACTACAAAGGTAGATTAACTATCAAGTTGCTGCTTGGTGTGTCCCCCTCTGGCCTTATCATTTACCGCAGTAAATGTTATGGTGGAAAAGCATCAGACCAAAAAATTTTTGCTGAAGGTACTTTGATAACTGAAAATATTCTTGAACCGTTTTCTGATGCTGTAATGGTTGATAAAGGGTTCAAAATTGATAAGGTAGTTGAGGAGAGAAATATAAAAATGCATCGTCCCCCCTTTGTAAGAAAGAAAATGCCTCTTACTGAGCAAGCTGCTAATTTCAATGTAGCTGTTGCTGTAGCCAGGGTTCATGTTGAGAGAGTAATTCAGAGAATGAAGTTGTTCCGCATTCTGAGTGACAAAATTCCTTGGTATGTGGTGCCTGATATTGATGCCATTTTCACCGTTGTTTGTGCACTTGTTAATGTGAGTTCCCCTGTTCTTGCAAAGGAACGCTTCTTGACTCAGGCTGATTGTGACCATATGAATAAATAAACACTAAATAAGTCAATAGTTTTCATTTCTTGTTATTGTCCCTCTATAGCACACAACACTTACACAAACAAATATAAAAATACAAGTCTCAAAATGAAGTTTCTATAAAGATAAATTTTATGGATAACTAATGACTAGAAATCTTGAACAAACAAACAAAGACTATACTATGGCTAGCTCTCTTAATAGTTTAAAATTGTGCCTAAAATAAATATCAGACAATCTAGTAAAATATTTTTTTACAAAGTCAGCATTAAAATTGACTGGTACTATATATATACTGTGGTCAAATGAAGCGTATATTACAAGGTGAGTTTGTTTCAGAGAGAGAACCGCCATGGCCATTTGAACTTGACCATAGTATATGTCCTTCTCTCTGAGCTTTGCTATGCCTTTGTCATTAGCAATGTAAGGTAGCTGGAAAACAATGTCACCTGCAGTTGCCTCAATTCCCAACTCAGGTGACTTCACTTCCACATAAATATCATCTTCTATGACAACACCATCAGGACTGGAGAGTAGATGGGGAATCTGGGGATGGATGCAAGCACCTAAATTATGAACCTTTTTACCAGTTACCAACTCATATTTTTCCTTGGCAAAAGGTTCATCTCCAAGTCCTCTCTCCATAGTCCACATATTCCCTTTACTTTCCTTTCCTGATTGCCGTTGCCGAATCCTACCTCTAAGAAATTTCTCCCATTCTGCATTTTCACCTAAGTCTAATTTACGCCTATACAATTCATACGCATTACTGCCTGTGAAGACCATTTGTCTGCGAAGCTGCCATTGTGGGCAGTCACTTTGAGCTACAGTCTCTATACATAAAGAAACCGCTTCCTCCTCAGAAATACTTATCCTATTTTTGTAAACAATGCTGTCCTCTACGTTGGAAAATATGGGAGGGCACAAATCCAATTTACGAAGTATGTCTTTACTTAATTTACTTGAGATCCATTCTTTGGGAGCGGTGTTGAAGGATGGTATTCTGTCTCCTCTGGTCATACAATTTTTCTTATGTTGAGTCTTTAAAGCCTCAAGCCTCAATTTTCTGGCTGAAAAATAAAGAAAAAAGATAAAAATTATTAGAAATTTTAAAGAAAAAGTTGAAAATAAGTCCAGTCAAAATTTTCTGTCTTACCCATTTTTTTCCCATCAGCACCACCCAATGTATTCTCATCAGCAGGCTTCTTACTTAAATTCCTATTTATTACTGTATTGGTCTTACTTAAATTCCTCTTTATTATTGTATTAGTCTTGTCCTTCAATGGCACTCTCTTTGGTGTGGTTTCAGCTACAAAGGCAGAGGAAAAATAAGATAATGCCTCACAGTACATACACCCAGTAATTCATTTAAAAAATGTAGTCACCTGTTGTAGATGCAGATAGAGGACTATGTTCCTTGGGAGTGGACTGAGCCTGAGGTGCTCCCAGGTTTGAGTCATTCCCATCCCCTTCCAGAGTACCGCTGTCAACTGCAGGCAGAATGTTCTGAAGGAGAGCTGTGATTTCAGCAATCTCCTTCCCTGTAATAAAGTTTCAATAAGTCAATAAAATTGATTTTAATTTTAAGTAAGACTTATGTTTCAAATATTAAAATATACATACTAACTAAAACAGCTGTCTCATTTTGAGGGAGGTCGTTCAACTGAGACACATTTAGCCCAGTGTCTATAGCACTGCTTATCATTCTCTGCACTTCACAGAGCTCCTCTTTGTTGCGTTGAGCTTCTTGTTCTTGTGCTGCAACAGAAGGTGCAATGTAATAAAATTATTTAAAAGCAAGGGAATTAGAAAAGAAAATTATATATTTACCCTCTCTTAATGCCTTCAGTTGATGAATGGTTTGGGGCTTGGGTTTGGGAAGAGCAGTGCTGGCAGTGGCAACAGTTTGCAGAGCTCTTGATATGGATTTATGAACTGGCAGTGTATCGTTGTTCTTTTCCTCGAATCTTCTTAAGCTCATAAAAAGGGGAAGCTCGCTGTCTGGGTCTGAAACTGTTGTACCAGAAAACAGGTCATTAAATTGTATCAAAAGTATCCACTGCACTGCTAGTTTTATCCATAATAATTATTATTAATCAGAAATTAGTCGCAATTTCATTTTTCTTTTGATTGAAGGTGAGAGCGATGCTCAATGTGTTATACTGTCACAGAGGGTATTCTTATTCCGATCACAATAAATGGGTAACAAAATGTCTAATTAATATGAATACAAAACAACGGCAAAATTCATTATCATATTTGGTGGGCGGTCAGGATTTAGACGGATAAAACCACCATCCTTTTCTTCGACAAACTCAGAATAATTGAAAATATTTATATTGCACAGAAAATTAGATTTTTAAAGACATAATAATTGATCTTGAGCCTTTAGACTTCCATGAACGAACAAACAAAACACAAACAAACAAATAAAGTAAATAAAATGAACTTACTGTTGAGAAATTCTTGGAGCAGTCCATCTCTCTGCTCCTTAGTCAGGACCACTGCTGGCTCTGCACCTCTTGGCTGGAAATGGCACTGCTTTGCCAGAGGAACGCCAGCAAACTGACTCCGTGTGAGGGCCTTCATCTGTGGTTTTCCCCACTTCTGCTTCATATCTGTGCAGCTGGTGCTCTCCAGATCGGACACACGGAGTCTGGGGGACAAGAAAAATTAACAGATGCATCCCCGTGGGAAAAGGATCATATATGCTTCATATATGGTACATATATGAGTATATATGGTTCATATATGGTACATATATGAGTGTATATGATTCATATATGACGAGACGCACGCCATATATGGAAGGCCATCCTCCATATATGTATCATATATGTATTTAGATATCATATATGCAAAAATTTGGTCCATATATGTGACATATATGTTACATATATGATATTTCTAGGCACATATATGCCTTTTTTACGGTCATATATGGCAATATTGTCACATATATGGCCCATATATGACCGGTTCAGCTTCATATATGAAGTCCCCAGACACATATATGAGGATTTCATCATCATATATGAAAATGTTCTTGTCATATATGTACCATATATGTACCATATATGACCAGTGCCACTGCATATATGGTGTTCCTAGATACATATATGAGGATTTCATCATCGTATATGAACATGGTCTGGTCATATATGTACCATATATGTACCATATATGACAATGTCTAGGTTCGCGGCCGTCCACATCATTTATTTTCTAAGTCCCTCCATATATACTTCATATATGAGTCATATATGTGTCATATATGATATCGACCAGCTCTAGAAGGTCTCCTTCACAGAGCCCTGGTCCTGCCAGGAAGCGTCGTAGCGTAGTAAGTAAAGCAACCGCCTGTGGAATCAAAGATTGCTGGTTCGAATCCTACTCCGTGACATTTTTTTTCGGCCATTCTTTCTGTACTTTTGTTGTAAAATGCGTAAGTATTTGATCTTGAACCATTCACACCCTTAATTTAGTATCAAATTTTCAATTTTGTATTGATTTATGATAATTTCATCATATATGGCTCATATATGTAACATAACATATATGAACTAAATATGAAAACTTATATGATTCACATTAATTGGTCATATATGTGTCATATATGATTTTAATATGTTTCATATATGCGACATATATGAAACATATATGCCCAATTAATATGATCCATATATGATCCATATATGACTCATCATATATGGACCATATATGATCATTTTTTCGCGGGTCGGCAGAAAAGCTTGGCGACCAAGGTGCAAAACAGGTGCACCCAGTGCAACAGGTGCATGGATGGAAACTAACCTAGTCAGACGGAGTGCAACGGCGATGCAGTGCTTGCAGCTGCCGCTTTTGCCCGCAATACAGGTGCAATCGGGCTTCACCTTTTTCTCCCCGTTCTCTTTCACCGTGATTCTGACGTTCACCCCGTGAGGGAGCTCGTCAGTGTGGGAACATTGAACAACTAGGGCGAAAACTTCAAGGAAATCGTCCCCAGAGTCAACCTTCCCCACACTGAGGATGCCTGTTTTGAGGACTGCAGAACCTTCAACCAGTGGTCTGGTGTGAGTACCGACCAGAGGAAGAACGTCCTGCAAGTCCAAAACACAATGAGCGTCAGAATCCATGGCTAATCGCTTCCTAATCGGCTTTACTTGTAACTCAGGCGGCTCCGGCAGCTAGGACGCGACGCTACGCGGACCGAGGCAGGCGACGAATGACGAGGGCAAGACCCGCTTCACCCTGGGGCCGCGCGCGACGGTGCTGCCATCTAGCGGTAGCTTTGCGGGGCGAATTGTCACGTGCCCAGGGGATGGAGGGGAGGGGAGGGGGTGCGCCAAGTTTTTGGTCGCGCGGCGGCGTCCGCGTTCGCGCCTCCGCGGCTGAGGTGCTTGTGGCTCGCTGTTCCCCCGTCGCTCGTCGCTCCGTCTCTCTCGCCGTCTCTCGCACCCCAACGGGGACGCCCCGCGGGCAGTGAGTGCGAGAGAGACAGAGCGGCGCACAGTGGGCCAGAAGTCCGGTAGAGGCGGCCAAAACTCTAGACGCGTTTTGAACTCCAGAGTCGCTAAACAGGACTCGAATCGAACGTGTGACCCCACCTCGCTCGGAGAGCAATCCATTGGTGGGGTCACACGTTCAGTTCGAGTCCCATGCATTTAGCGACTCTGGAGCTCAAAACGCGTCTAGAATTCTGGCCACCCCCACCGGTCTTCTGGCCCACTGTGCGGCGAGGGCGCTGTTGGGAATGAAGCGGGTGCCGGCCCGGCCTTTGCGCGGCCCTTGAGGAGGCGCCATCAGGGTCCCTGCTCTGTCTCTCTCGCACTCACGGGGCGTGCCGTAGGCGTGCGAGAGAGACAGAGCGACGGGACGACTCCGCGGAATGGCGCGGCCGGCGCGGCTGGCGCCCTTTCTACGCGGGGACGCGGCCCTCCACGCCCCGCGGCACGCCTGGGCACGCCTGGGCACGCCGGCATGTATGATGATGTCGCCGCCAAAGGTTGCGGCCGCGCCCCTGGGGACTGTCCTCGTCCTGTCAGCCTGATTTCGAACAGTGGCGCGGAACGCCACGATACGCCCCAAGAGTGCGAGAGAGACAGAGCGACGAAGCGCTGCTAGGGATCAAACTCCACACTCTTGGACGTGTGGAGTTTGCAGTCTCCACTCTTCAAGTGTGGGGTAGCTCCCAGAACCCCTATCTTGGCACGATGCAACGTGGAGAACTCCACACTGGAAGTGCTCTGCAAACTTCCTGGTGCATGCCTGGCACACACTTGAGTTTGCAGAGTGCGTGCACTCTCATTCCAGGAACGTGACATCACGTTGAAACGAACGTGACAAAGTGTCACGTTCGTTTGAGCATTGTGTCACGTTCGTTTGAATGTGAACGAGCTGATTTTCGGCCAATTCACACCCAAACGAATGTGACACAATGCTCAAACGAACGTGACAGTTTGTCACGTTCGTTTCAACGTGATGTCACGTTCCTAGAATGAGAGTGTGGGGACTCCAAATTCCAACCTCCGCGATTTTGAGCGTGGAGTTTTCCACGCTGGTTTCATTCACAGTGTAAGTACGTGCGGGAGTGCATCGGGGCCGCCACGCCGCCATGGCGCCACTGATGGCCGTGCGAAGCGAAGCCTGGAAGCCGAGGGGGCCACCACCCCCGTAATCCCGTGTACAAGTTTGCTGCTAATCTCTGGTAATCCGGCGTAATCACGTAATCCTTGACAAAATTCTGTAATTTTTCAACGTTTTTGAGTCATTTTCCAACGTTTTCGAGCTATTTTTCAACCTTTTCGAACCAATTTTCGAAAATTTCACGCGTAATCCCTAGTAAATATCCCGTAATCCCGTAATCTTGTGTACGCCTGAAATGAGAGTGGTGGGCCCCTCGCTGGAAGCTGTCTGCGTCGATTGAAACGTATCGCCGCCCTGCGCGCGCTGCTCCCTGCCGTGCAGAGAGCCCACCCTGCCGCCCGGCGTAGGACTGATTCCGAGAGCCGTTTTCGTCGCTCTGTCTCTCGGACTCATGGGCCATTCCGTGCGAGAGAAACAGAGCGGCGGCGAAAACGACTGTCGGAATCAGTCTGCTGCCGTCTTGGCCAGGGGTGATCGGTGGACTGGCGATCATGGTGCACTATTGGACTCCGTACGCGGCAATGCATGCGCTGGAACGGCCTCCGCCAGGCCCATCTGTGTCGATTCCGACTGGACGTTGGGTCGATCTTTCTCCATCGCAACCCTGCAGTAGAGTCCTACATGGAGGCGTGTAACCGGTGTACTAACGGAGACGGAGCGGTACGAATCAACGTAACGAGCAGAGGCGCCCGTCCCACAGTGGGCCAGAAGACCGGTGGAGGGGAGGCGGCCAACTCCAGACGCGTTTTGAGCCTGAGAGTCGCTGAATGGGACTCGAACCGAACGTGTGACCCCAACAATGGATCGCTCTCCGAACGAGGAATCCATTGGTGGGGTCACACGTTCGGTTCGAGTCCCATTCAGCGACTCTCAGGCTCAAAACGCGTCTAGAGTTTTGGCCGCCTCCACCGGTCTTCTGGCCCACTGTGCGCATGCAGCTGCACTGTGGATCCCGCCGTTGATCCTGATTGGTCTCCGCGACTCTGTCTCTCTCGCCCGTGTACCGAACGGACCGAACGCCCCTGCAACTGAGACGAAGCATCAGGCAGAGGCGCCCATCCACGCCGCCGCCCCGCGCCTAACGCATGCAGCTGCCGAGCGGTTCGGATGGGTCGTTTCGTCGCTCTGTCTCTCTCGCGCTCATGGGGCTGCCCGTAAGGGTGCGAAAGAGACAGAGCGAGATCTTCTGCATCGCTCGGCTGAGCTGCGCTAAGCTCAGCTAGGCGGACACGGCGTCACGTGTTGACGGCGCCGTAAAGGCACGCAATATAAAGTCTGTAAACAGCAGTCGCAGTCCTGGAATGGGAATGGGCGTCCGAGGCCGCGACGCCGCCGTGCTGCAGCGCCGACGCCTCCGCCCCCACACTGTGAAGCCAAGGGTGGAGAGCATCATCATCATCATCAGCGCTGTTAGGCCTATGCAGACCTTTAGCGGTTCGAGTCAGCAAGGCACTCCGACCTCGCGCGGCCTCTCCGCAACCTCAGATGCGGTAGGATTTCTGCATAGTCGTAGTGCCCGCTGCCCTACTGGGGAGCATGGGGTCAGTCTGCGCTAGGCACGTGTACATAACACAGACATCACGCATCTCAAGAGTTTGTTGCCGAGGTGATGCGCTCCCAAGGGAGCGAGCTAGAAAGAAATGAAGAGGCTGAAAAAGGAGACGACAGTATACGACTGCCAACCGGGGGAAGGGGGGAAGGGGAAGGCGACTGTAGCTGGCGGAGGCAGGGTGGAGACGATGTCCCTCTTGCCGGCGCGCGTTGTCCAGCACCCGCGCCTTCGCCGCGTCGCGCCGCTGCTCGTGGAAGACGGCTCAGGGCGGCAGGGCGGTGGTGACGGCGGTCCAGGCGTCGGTCCGTTGCTGTGGCTCCAAGTTGGCGATGGGGAGGGTCGCAATGGTGTCCTCGGCCGCGTCCACACGCCGCTCCTTGGGCGTCCTCGCGGCTTCCCGGCGGGCCTCGCGGTGGCCGTGGCACGGCCAGCTGACTAATATCCCACGGCGAGGCGTGTCAATCCGCCGATTTTATGACTCGCTGCTGTCGAGGCGACACCTCTGGACCAGAACCAGGGCGGGGTCAGGTTTCACGCGCATGTTGTCAGCCCCCCGAGGGGCGTGGTCGGGGGCGGGACCCAACACAACGCAGAGCTACGCAGCGACCGGGGGGGAAGGGGGGGGGCGACCCCCATGTGGCCCCGTGCAGCAGGAGGGCCTCTTCCGCGAAGCCGCCGACACCCACGTGTCGCGCCCGATACACACGGACACTTGCCGATGCCGGAGTGGCAAGTGTGTAGATTTGGCTGAGGGACGCAGGCGCCTGGTGCGGTCGCGAGGGCCACGCCGAAGAGAAGGGGGACGCAAGGGTGCGTACCCGACGGTGCGTTGGGCCCCGCGCGGCTGGGCTGTGGGCGGCGCGCCGGCTGGAGGCATAAACCACGGCAAACCGGCTAGGCAAAGGTGTCCTCGGCGGCGTAGACACAAAGCAGCGGAAGGGGTTGCCATCAGAAAGCTGTAAAATCACCGACCGGAGCGGCTGCCTTCGCTGGGAACGTGAGGGACGGGCTGGAGGGAGCGAGCACGACGACCGCGCTCGGGGGCGGGCGGAGTAGCAGGTAGGGGGAGGGCCTGGGCGGCGGTCTCGTTCCGCGAAACGATGCGATGTAGGCGGGCTGGCGACGGCGCTGTAGTGCGACAAGTGCGGGGACTCAGCGGAGACTCAGCAGATGTTAGGGTGGGTGGGCGCTGACAGCAGGCTGGGGCACACGTGCAGGCGCCCTTCAGCGGACCGCCCTGATGGGCCGGCCCGGCCCGGCGCGCTCCGCCGCGCGGGAAGGAGGGTGACGGTGGCCGGTCGACCGGCGGCGGCGGCCGCCGGCCCGCCTTGACCTCACCAACCGCGGCAGTAGCGACACAGAGACGAGCAGCGCTGCGTCGCTTGCGAGCTGAAAAGACGCCGACCAAAACGACAACCTTTGGGGGGGGGGGAGGGGGCGGCTGCGATATGGGAACCGGCTGCGGACGAAGCGGAAGGCCCCGCGCGGGGCGGGAAACGCCCCTCCCTACGCGACGCCCGCCCTATTAGCACACATGATCGCCTGACCGCGGCCCGGCCCGTGAGCGGGGCGGCCGCCCTGGCGCGTCGCGGGCCATCCTGGGCCAGGGTGTGCAGACGGGTTCCGGCCGGCCCGGTCACGTCGGCCGAGTGCCGACCGCGACGAGGTGACCGTAGTAGGTCTGCCACCCGGGCACCAGCGGGTCGAGGTCAGAAGACGTAGAAAGGGGTACCACCCGCTGGCCGGTCCGCCCGGTCACCCCCCGTAAGGGGCAGGCGGTGGGCCGGCACTCAGGCCCCATGGCCGCGGCCAGCCGGAATTCACCCGTCCCCTCGGCCAGCGTGCAATCCAGGGAGGGTTGGTTCCGCGCCGGTGTAGCGGTCAGGTGGGCCCGGCGGGGTGCACGCCCCGATAACAACGACATAGACGTGGCACTAGCACTGCCCACAGGCCAGCCCGGCCGCACGGCTCTCCTCAGAGCGCCGAGCGGGGGGCCAGCACCCAGGCCCCGT